GGATTCCAGTCCCACGCTGTGCCCTCGATGGCCCCTTTGCCTACCAATTTTCTACTTTTTGTCGCAACAATTCGCTAAAGTTCTGTAATTTAGCTGGATCAACCGAAATGGGGAGTTGGTTCTCGATGGCCATATCTGATGGGTCCGGACGATCCGATGTTGAAGAATTACACCCACCTGATGACGCTCACAGCTATTGCTCTTGGTAAGTGGTCAAACCTTCTGTGCTTTGAAGAGAGTGTTTCCTACGAACTTTTAGTAGCTTCTTTGATGAATACCATAATTACATTCAATTGTAATGACCACTTTGGCTTACCCTATAGTTTCTTCAGTACCATCTTGTTCCCCTGACTTTATCAGGACCTCAAGGATGCACAAATTGCATTTACTTTTCATTTACCTTAACGGTTCAGAAAAAAAAGTCGCTAAACTGTTCACTTTCGGGGATGCGCCATGCTTCCAGCTTTCATCACGAACCACAGCGGTTTTCGTTAATACAATGACCAGTGGGGTCACCGATGAACAATTAGGCGTCGTGATTCTCCCATACAGGTCTGACCCCACCCGGAAAAATTAATGTTTGTTAGGTTGGGCGCTGATCATGCGGTTATCGGGTCCCGGGCTCTGATCCGATACTCGATAACCACATGAATTGTGGTATCACCGCACTTGTCACTCCGTCCTTCTCCCTGCCCGTCACCAGAATACCGCAAGTTCAGTGACGTTTGAGGTAGTGACAAATGTTGGAACGCCAGTCTTTACACTTGATCATTTGAACTTCTGGTGAATGCTGCAGAAGTCGAAAGGTCAACAATTCCTGGTGGAATTTGCTTTGCAGAAACGTGGAACAATGCCTACTGCACGTAACGTTCAGTAATAGGAAACACTTTTTTTTACTCTAACTACCGTAGTCTCCATTGTGGTTGGGGCGGAATGACTCATTCAGCAGGAAACGACCACAATGGTGTTGCTTACAACAAACTTAATTCTTGTCCTTACCTATTTTTCCAAGTATATCCATCATCAGGGTAGGGGCACTGTCACACACACAGGTCCGCGATTCTGATCCCAGATCAAATTCTACGTAGGACCTCCTTTCTCTCGGGGTCGGCTAGTTGGTATCAGACAGTGGTCTGGGAAGATTAAAGTGCTGAATTATATATCGGCTGCTCACCTCAAATGATTTTATAGGCCACACAAGCATTCAAACTACGATCCTGAATGGAAATTGAATGCGCGGTGTGGGAAGGGGAAAGGGGATGGGGGGATCTCATCAAGGAATTGATTAACGCCGAAACTTTTTCCTTCCGAGTTCGTGTTCACTTCAGTTCTTCTTAAACTTCAGCCACAATAATATTTATCAGCGTTGTCCCTGTCCCTTGCCATATAATCCACCAAACTAGTGGGAACCAACTGCAGCCAGAAGAACACCCATCGGAAGTGTTCACGGTTTTTCGCGACGTACCTACCCCAAACTGTGGCTGGCTACGATCAGGAGGAAATGCCGATTTTTTTTCAGTAAAAATGACTACCAGGTTTACGGACTCGAACAAAAATCATCATGACCGAAATACTGGAACTGCTCTTTATCAGATCGGCAAGGCTATGCTGTCCAGAACTATAACTCCCAGTTCAGCCGCAGCTTCTCTGGAGGGCATCCAGGGTGACAATATGAGCAAACATGGCTTTAAATGGGATAAACGATTACCATCAACACTGAAATGGGCCATCAGAGAGTTCTGTCTCGTGGGGCTCTCCTATTCCACGCTATAGACTCCACATCAAGTAACTCCTTGTAGAAGCTTTCTGACACCATCACCTTCACCAAAGAAGTTCTTACTTTGAGGAAGCCTGTGAAAGAATTAAGGAAACTCAAAAGGCAATTTGGAGAGCCTCCTAGATATGGAATCAACCAATTTCACAATTGCCCTTATGAGAAATGAAAAACGTAGTAGTTCGACCTGTTTGGATTTTACAAGCAGCATTAGCGGGATGCATGGCGCATGCACAAAGTGGATTGGCCAGCGCTCGGTTGTTCATCTTTTTTCAGCAGCTAAAGTAAAAATGAGACTTTACTATTCGGAACGAATTGTAAATGTCGAGTAATGTCGTCGGACTTCTCTTTAGAAAGGTTCAACCCAAAAAAACTTCGGTAGTAAATCAGGCAGGTCAAAAGCCGAACCCATTGTCACACGACTTTGAAATCGAAAAGTACCTTACAAATGATAGAGCTCACCTATAAACTGCTAACACAGAGTTAATTTTCAACGAATATGAATTACTTTTAGGAGCGGATCCTAAACTGGCCGAAAAAGAGATGTACGAAGCGATGGAGCTCGAGCTGAAATTGGTGAATTTCTCGGCAGACGATATGGTACGGCGGGATCCTGATCGAGGCAACAATCGATTTCAACTTTGGCAATTGAAATCTCATTTTCCACTGGTGAGCAACAAATCAATAAATACCTTGGGATACGCCGTGCATTCGTTTTTCGCTTGAAATTGTAGTCGTCTTGGTTGCTCTCTCGGTCAATACAGCGAATCGTAGTGGCTGCTATAGTTTCGCAGTTCATACCTACTTATTACAAATAATATTTCAGATTGATTTCGAGCAATATGTGAGAACCGTATTCAAAGGGCTGGCAAACGTGTCACCAAATCATACAGTAATCATACGTGAAATTGAGTATTTCACAGGAATCCAGGTAATTTGGAAATTCAAAAAGGTTCAGCCCATATCACATATCACATACGTGGATTTTCAGCACATTCTGACTTCTACTCCAAAACGTGTGATTGCAAACTACGTGGCATGGAGGCTTGTTCAAGGTAATACAGGCTGTTTACAAAATTGTTTACAGTTAGGCTTGTTTCTTCACGATTCAATCCAAAAAAACTTCGGTTTCACCGTTTGCTCATATATCTCACTTATTTCTACATCATTCGTTCACAACTCCTCATTCCTCGAGTACAGAAACAAAAGATCGGTATGGGAACCTAGCTCTTACCGTAATCTATCCGTGGATCCTCGCCCGAATACGTTGGAGTGATGTAACACGCTCCAGTGGCTATTCATATTTTCTTGACTGATCCTCTGAGCGAGCACCGCCCACTCGAGCGGATGCTCCGCCCATCTTGAATTTGTGTTTTTCACATTTTCGCATTATTCGTCTCGGATTTAATACAACCATCCTAGTATATAAATCAATCAAATTCCGTCAAACATTTAGAGATTTATGTAGCGGACCGAAGACTAGATAAAATTTCTTTTCTAGGGTTCTCTCCTTTTCTGCCTCCTACTGCACGAGAGCCATTCTACCAGTTCAAAGCGAATCAGACCGGCATGTTCAATAGTCCGCCACCGGATAGGTAGGTTGAGCCAGCACTTACCGTTGACTGGAGTACCAAGGCAGAAAGCTATTTTGTAGGTGGGAAGATTGTGTAACGTTGTCGGTGATCATGATGGATATGCCTGTTGGAAAGCTGTTTGTCGAACATTTTTTCGAACGTGAACGAGCTATGGAGAAGGTTAGCTCCCGAATATTTTCATTTTGTAGAAAATTATCCAAGAAGAACCCATCGTGAACCATTTCAGATGCAAGAACTGACGACCTTTCTGAAAGGTGAATTCATCAAACAACTTCATGTACTTGACTGGATGGATGAGTCAACACGAAGGCGAGCCGTCGAAAAGGCTGGAATGATCGAGTACAAGAACGGGTTCCCGGAAGTGTTGTTTAACGACACCTGGATGGACGAACACTGGGGCATTGTACGTTTCTGTAGCTCTAGTATATTGAATTTCATTCACCATACCCCCAGTTGATTCCCATCTCGAAACTTAAGGTACTAAAAAGTTCTCAGAGTTGTTGGGGCTTATTCGGTAAACTGTAATTTTGGAGGCGGAGTTGTTGGACCCAGCGCGTCTCTTATTGGTGAAGCATCAAACTGTACAACTGTTGACCCACGACTGTTGGACGACTCCATAATCCTTCAATGGAAATGTTTCAAAACATGCTAACTCCATTCTCATGCTGCTACAACATGGGGTACCAACAGCTTTGAAAGGTTCAATATATAAGCGCAGAAGGCTATTAAGAGCTACGGGATAAATTCTAATGGGCCAGCAACCACCTCAACCTCATTTGCGACCATTTCTTAGTCTTCCACG